AAGCGCCGGACATTCGCTTTTCGTCCTCTCATTTTCGTAAACAACACCCCCGCCACGAGAAGGCAGTGAGTAGGACTTCCCTGGCAGAGGCTATATACGCGTGGCCGTGTGAGAGTATTTCGAGAGGGAGAGCGGACTCTCCCCACTCTCTGCCGTACCAGGGCATTTGGGGGTAATATGAAGAAGGTATTTGTTAAAATTGACTAAACTATTTAATATCCTACATATAAATTCAGGTTTAGTAGTTTGGCTACTGAGTAGGTAGTGTTAGACCCTCAATTGATTACTCCTGAAGCATTGTCACCTTTGAAGCTGAGATGCAGAAAGATGGGTACTTTTTTGGGTGTAACAGTATCCGACTTGTTATATGTAGTTTTCCTAAAATTCTTAATATACTTCTATGTCTAGAAGTTGTTTCTTAAGCACTTTTCAGTATTCATCAATTTTCTCCCGAATTCATCATTGATGTATATTTTATCTATGCTATAAAATACTGTTTTGATCAATGCTTTCTTAAAACTGTTTGTGACAAAAAGTCTGTTCTTTAAGGTCCTACTATAGTAATCATGTAAGTTTGGTAGGTAAGAATACAGTTGCAAAGATACGAAAGCGAAGTCATACAATTAACCGTAGGTTGTTTTTTATGGATTAGCAGGACCTCCGATATCGGTATTTTCTCATGGACAGTAGGTTTGTGAAGTATCAAACTAATACAACAAAAATCACCAATCAAAACTTTTACCTGTGACCAGCCCTAAACTATTGTGCTTTGCTTTGTAGTCACACTCCGAAACTGAAAATGTCTCGATATGAAATTCACTGCCTTTTTCAAATTATTTAGCATTATATATCCTTCCACAGTGAAATAAATCGGAAAACTCCAAAAGTCCACTGAACTTTAACACTACTTTAGCTAATCTTCTCTTCGACGAATTATCCTCCTTGATTCCTAGTATTACTTCTGTCCCTGTTATCAACCTTCTTCTAGTTTCGTCTTCTATCTTACACGCAAGAGGTGCTAACCGCCTTTTCTTATCATATGCCCACCGTTGTACAGTGTGGTAACTACTTGCTAAAGCCTGAAATGTTCAAGCCCTATATCCGAGTGGACAATTTATTTAACTTGTCTTAGAATTTTATGTCATCTATGTTTTCCATGTCTTCTAAATCCTGATACAGGCCCTGGTAATGGCAATACGCTTTAAATTGCTTAACCATTAAATTTAATTTGCTTTTTAGGGTATTGGGTTTCAGAACGAATACTTGGTCAATTTTATATTCAATAATTTTCATTTCATTTCAAACTCTTACCCAGCATTATCAATAATCAGGCATCTAGAAATGAGAGATCATCTTTTTCCTCTCCTTTTAAGATGAATGTGGTAAATGGATAAATACTGACGAATTTATCAACCTTATTGTATAAAAATCATGAATGTATCATATTTATAGTTATTGTAGAATCCTATCTTGTTGACAAGTGCGTTAATGAGACTGTCCTCCAGTTTTACTTGGAGTAAGAATAACGGTTTAATTTTGTTTCCAGGATGATAAAATTATTTTAGTCTCAGAAGGGAATTATGATAGATTATATTGATTTGTCAAAAATTGTTGACAGATCATGGGTAAAATTAAAAATTCGTATTTTACTACTTATGTGATGTGTGCTACTTATATGGACATAAGTAGTATTTGGTGTTAGTGGTGAACAGAAGGTCTCTTGGCAGAGAGACAAAATGATCGAAGTGTAAAGAATGGAAACAGAATGCAATTTGTATGAAAATGCAAGAAAAATGAAATCTGAGTCATTTTGATACAATTGGTGAGCATTTTGCAAATTAAGCATTTACTTTATGATTGTTAGATTTTATTAACAAGTCCTGTAATTTTGTGCTAAATACATTTGATTGTATCCTCTGGTGTTCTTGTTCACTACACTTACTACTATCATGTAATATAAATATACTCTGGAAAGTGAACAGTGGTTTTTACGTTTAAGTATATCACTACGACAGAAAATATGTGGTCTCACTGTGGGTATCCTGTACTAGATGTTGATCGGTATACTTCTGGGAGAAGGCCAATCTGACTCCTTTGACTAGTTTGATTCTCATGCCTCATATCATGGGACTCCATAAGTAGGTTTTTGTCGAGGAATACTTTGCTACGTATAAGTGAACATACTCTATAATATAGCTCAATGAACGACAATGAAAGCTTATATTTTGCAACATTTGGTTAATAGTAACCTTGGTGCATAAGACTAATTCTTCAACATAGTTTATAAGAACACAGATGTCAGTCTAACTTGGAAAAGTACTTAATAAAGAATCACATAAATTAGAAAAAATTACTCGTCTTACAATTAGACAGGTTATACTTAATAAATAACCCGACATGTTTTAATAGAATGTTAGTTGAAAAATTCGTTCGGAATGTCTGCCAGTCAATCAAACAATCGAAGACTATTTATCCGTGATAAATCGTTACTTATGAATTTCAGAGTATATACTTTTATAAGGTTTACGATATACTTAGCTAGCTAATTTGGAATCATTGTTAGTACGAGTTCATACATTAAAATCGATATCTGTCAGAAGATAAGCATTTGAAAAATTCTTCTACAAGACCACGTTCTATGTTGAAGTTTACGGAAAAACATCACAAGTTGGTTTTTCAGAAATGCACATTCTGTTGAAACTAAGCTAACACCATGTTTCCATTCATAAATTAGGATATAATTAGTATTCGAAATTCTATAACTAACGACCGTCAATAATTAGATATAATAATGTTTCGAAAAATGTTTCTTCTAAGTAACTAAAATGTGTATCTAAACTGTTAAATATAATTATCTGTATAGGGGGTGGTGGGGATTGTTGAGCTTTAGTAGAGATTACTAATGGATCAGTGTTAGACCACTATTGAAAACCTGGAAGAAATGGACAACTGTTTCGTTCTAGTATGGGACTCGTGAGCAGTACATATCCACGACTCTGCATCCGGGATTTGAACCTATAACATTCGGTCTCGGGCGTGGATTCAGTCACTCACTGAAGACAATGGAAGACGATCGTGCATTATCGTGGATTGGTTGAAATTAGACATTAAACCGTTGCATGTCGGTTTGGTGGTCTAGAAGTTAGGCATCTGCAAGCCAGAATAAAGTTCGAGTCTCGGGTGCGGTAATGTAGATGTGCATTGCTCAAGAGTCCCATGCTAGGACAAAATGGTTATCCAGTTCTTTCAAGTTTTCGATGGTGGTCTAACATTCATTTACCCATGATCTCAGTGTTAAATATGATTCAAGTTGACAAATGCAATTTATATTAAAGCCTTGATAACTGAATTCGAGATCGTATGAATTTTCAACAAATTTGTGACCAACAGCTTTGGAGTCACTCCAACACTTACTGCTAACTTTTTCTCAATAAATCAATCTGTGGAACCTGAGATACCTTACCTAATTCTTATTTCTTCCTAATACAGTTTGATTTTGGTTAAACACGGAGATCTGGCCTACAGAAATGTTGTAATGAAGAATAGAACAACTAGATATCTCGTCCGATTATTCAAATTCTCCATTATCTACATTTGTCAATCTTATTCACCGACCCGTTAGTCAAGATATACAAATTAAATGTTCATCTCTCTCCAAACTTAGATTTATAAGTGACTATTAAAACTGAGTGAAATCTGTAAGAGACATTGTCCTCAAATTTATAAAATTTTATTTTCAGAAGGGGTTTGTGGAGATTTTAGAAATTTTCACAGATTTAAATCATGAGTCAGTTGAAGCTAGACCACCATTGAAAACCTGGAAGCACTGGACGGCCGTTTCGTCTTAGTATGGGACTCCTCAGCAGTGCGCATCCACGATCCCGCACCACGCGGGGCTCGAACCCAGAACCTACTGGCTTCGCGCGCGAGCACTTAACCATTAGACCACTGAGTCGGCATCCAACGGTGTTAATGTCTAACTTCAACCAATCCACGAAGTCGCGCCACCGTACACCATTGTCTTCAGTGAGCTGATATCTCACAACAGACCTGGTTGAACTCCACTGGTAACGGCTTCCCACTAGAACTCCAGGAGTATCTCTTGAAGTCAGTCACTAGTGAGCAGATGATTATTATCAGAAGGGGTTTGTGGAGATTTTAGAAATTTTCACAGATTTAAATCATGAGTCAGTTGAAGCTAAACCACCATTGAAAACCTGGAAGCACTGGACGGCCGTTTCGTCTTAGTATGGGACTCCTCAGCGTGGTGCGGGATCGTGGATGCGCACTGCTGAGGAGTCCCATACTAAGACGAAACGGCCGTCCAGTGCTTCCAGGTTTTCAATGGTGGTCTAGCTTCAACTGACTCATGATTTAAATCTGTGAAAATTTTATTTGTTAAAACAGTCAATAATATCGTATTTCTACTGAACATATTCAAGATGTGTTTATTTGTGAATAAAAAGATTTACAAAATTTCAAAATCATTAGAAGTTGTTCACACAAAAAAATGTCCCTTTAAATTTAACACTAGTTTCCACTACATGGTAAATGAAGTTATTATAAACCAGCATGTACTGAGAATCGTATTCAGAACCATTATTGCTTCAGAGATCAAACCATGAATATTCATATATATATATAAGAGGTAAATCTATAAAATCATATTTTTTTATTCACATTGATTATAATATAGTTTATTGATAAAGTCATCACATCGTTATGATTATACAGCACTGTGTTTTTACTCACTCATTATTTATGTAGGGATTAAAATTTGTATTTATATTGAACTTTGTATCTTTATCACATTTCAATTGAACAGTATGAAGTGATTTTCATTTGAATAAACCTATAAGAGAGAAATAAATATGTGTATTTATACAAGGATTGATGTTAGTCATGTATCAATATTTGTATAACTTTACTTATGTATATCTAATGCCGGTACTATGATTGGTTCAAATAGTCTATTAAAATCTTTTTAATCACTAGGTATTAACTAGAATTTGTGTAACAAGAAGTATGAGATTATTGAATCAAATTAGAAATATCACATTACTAATGTACCATAAATTTCATAATTTATTTAATTCAAATAATAAATGTTTAGCATATTTTATAATTATCATGTTTATTACAATTTTGTATTATTCAATTCTAATGAAACTAATAAATCCTGAAGTTACATATATAATTGCTCCAACTTCATCTGGGATATTTATACAATTTACAAACAATTCATTATCAACAAATCATACTACTGAAATTGTGACACATCGTACAACTAGTTCAACCCCTATAATTACCACTAAAACTTTTCATCCTCAACGCCATCACCATCATCATCGTCGTCGTCCACGTTATGGTCACAAAAAAATGAGATTGAGAAAAGTAAAGTCATTGAACATCATCAAGTCAAAGTTTCAAGTACATTCAAGATTAAATTGGAAAACTAAAAAAAATGATGATGTTTTATCACAAAATTTGTTTCCTCCATTATATCTTAATCATTCATTTTGTTTTAATCAATCTAATTTTTATATTCATAATGAAAAATATATTAAATTTAAAAAATATCGACAAATTATAAATTTAACTAATGTATTAAGAGTATTTAATATAAGTCAATGGTTAAAAATAAAGCCAACTATATGTCAATCTAGTAAAATAAATTTATTAATTATTATATTCTCTCCAATAATAGATAATTCAATTCGTTATAAAATTCGTCAAACATGGGGTTCAATTAAATATATTTTAAGTGATACTATTATAAATAAACAATATTTTAATGGATTAAATATTATTGAACATTTATTTATTGTTAATATTACAAAATATAAATGCAAACAAAATTCAATTCATATTCAAAATCTTTTAAAAGAAGCACAATATGAAAAAGATATTTTAATTTTATGTTTAAATCATTTACAAAATAATTTAGCTTCATTATATCTTTTAACAAGTGAATTCTTATTAAATTCTTGTAAACATTCTATAGATTTTGTTTTATTTATTAATCATGATTTATTTCCTAATTTAAATGCTTTAATACAATATACAAATTCAAAATTATTACATTTAACATCGAATACATTAAAACAAAATTATAATCCATCTATATATTGTATACCAATGGTACAAAAACATAATGAATATAATAAACGATTTAATAATTTATATAAAAATTATTTACCTATATGGCAAGGAAATATTTATCCTACATATTGTGATATTAAAACTGGTGGTTTTTTATTATTATTTAAAACAATGAAACAATGGTATACATGTTCTCATTTATATATACCATTTAATCCTATACAAGTTTATTTAACTGGTTTTATAAGATATATAGCTAAAATTGATATTGAAAATTATTGGATAAATTATTGGTCAATTAGTAATTTGTTACCAAGTGTATCATTAAATAAGAAAAGTAAAAAATATTTATTTTTTCAAAAATCTATTAATCAAAATAGTCGAGTATGGAAAAGTGTATTTCGTGCAACATTGAGTTGATAATACCATATATATGTATGTGCATGTACTTTTTTATGAATCTTACTTTTGTTTCCATTGCGTTGAAATATGTTAATTCAAATTAATGAGTCATTTGAAATAAAAATATAGATCAAATTTATTTATTTATTTACTTACTTGCTAATGGATAGGACATACATTAAGTAAATCATCTAACTGCATCACGAGGCAAGCCCTAACTTGCAATCCTGAAGGGAAGCGAAAAAAAGAGTAAGGTCAAAGAACATAATACGTCGGGAAATAGAAACAGATATAAAAAAGGACGAACAACAAATGGAAAGAGCTGGAAAGGGTTGCCCAGGACAGGATTAGATGGAGAATGCTGGTAAGTGCCCTATGCTCCTTCACGAGGAGTAACAGGCGTAAGTAAGTACTTAGTTACTTACTTACTTACTCATACCTCTCACTCCTATTGAGATATAGGCTAATAACCAGTGATGTTTAACTAAAATGATGCTGAGTTTTTAATTTAGTTATTATCGGATGCTATCCATTTCTTTGTTGTTTGCCCCCAACTCCTGGCATCATATCTTTTTCTGATTACCTGTTTTCCTTTTGCCTGAAAGATTTCAAGTAAAGGCTTGCTTAGTGATTCATTTTAATGATTTTACGTAATTTGAGTACTATCTACCTTCAGAGTCTTTTTCTAATTTTTTTCTTTAACTAGCAACTATTTTGTTCTCTGACAGTAGCTTACACCTGATGATCTCTAACTAATAGATATAGGATATTTTGCGTCAATGGCTATTTATAAATACGTGTACTTTTGGTGATGATTTTGGTAGTTCTTCATGTTTTAACTTCATACAATGGACCTGTTTTTATTTTTGAGTTAAAAATTCTTGGCATTTGTTCTTGGGTGACAGTTCTCAAGTCCCAGATTTTTATTCAGTCGTAGGCATATCCGCCTTGTACTGCTAATCCGTGCTTTGACATTTGCATCTGATCATACTTGTTTATCCCTAGTTCTGTCCATCTATTTAAAAGCTTTCACCTCTTCCAGGGCTTCATAGCCAAGTGTGATTTAAGTTTACCCACGTCGTTATACATCAGCATCTAACATTTTTGTTTTTAGATGCTGAAGTCTATATCTGATGACAAAACCGCTGATATGATGGCTGCCTTTGTTTGCATTTGTTGCTGTTCATGAGACAGAATAGTTGAGCTATGTCAAAAACCATAATTTTTCAACTGCACCCACTATATTCCTTACTTTTTCTCAGATGTCGCGGTCATCATCTATCCGACAGCTAGATGAAGGAGAAAAGGAGAAGTTAGGCAGCATGTATGACATCAGTATTCACTTGGAATGTATCTGTGAGCGACTCTCCATGCACAACTTTGCGATTCAGTCCGTTGTAGGAGTTCCGTATGATATTGACAATCTTCCAATGTATTCCATACTGTAAAAAAATCTCATAAAGTTCTCATATTCACACTAGTGAATACTTTGTTATAATCAAAGATGTTGATGTATGGCGGTGAATTTCTTTCAAGTGACTAATCAACAACGATCCACAGTGTCAAGATTTGATGGGTACATGACCAATCCGTACGAAGGCCAACTTGTTGGTCCCGATGTTAGGAATCTACTGAATCTTTCATTCGGTTGAGCGGTGTTATGTTCAAGACTTTTCTGATACTGATAATATTGTAATTCTTCTTTAACTCTCACATTCACTAAGATCTCCATCATCATTCAGAGTGATTATCGTATACTTACTGTTTTTCCTTCCATCTCGTCTCTTACTCATGGCTGAAGTTATAGGGATTTGGGTCAACAACCAAAGCATTGATATTTATAGGATATTTTCAACACCGTCTCTTCCTCGCCTGAATTAGGCATAGCGAACGATTTTCCTTATTATTATAATTTGTTTTCATATCCTTTTTTCATTTATCTTTATCCACCTCTTCTTCAAATATATCCTTTTCTATCAAATAATTTCAATACTTCTTACTGTAGTGGCTGGTCCTATGTCGAGCCCACATAGCTTATTCTAGCTTCGGGAAGGGCCAATTTTTCCATTCTTCTTAAGTCATATTTTGACATTGTTGATTATTCACTTATCAACCTTGACTGTTTTCATGTGAGCGTATGTGTGTGTACATCTTATCCCACTCGTCATGTCTGTAACCTATTTCTATCTGGCTCACACACCTCCACCGCGCATCATTTCTATTCGTCTCTCCAATTGCCTGCCCAAATCAATGACTGTACAGAATATATATATTCGAAATCCATTCTCCTGTTTGGCTTATTTAATTTCGTTATTCACTGGAGCGGTTTAAGTCGATAATTATATACGAGGATTGGCAACATATGCGTTTCGACATGTATATCTCAATAACGACCAATCATACGATCGAACTGGAGTCAGATATAGAGACACTAAATTAGTATTTTCAGTCTGGGATTGTGGAGATTATTGAATTTCATTGAAATCACGAACCAATCAATGTTAGACAGTTATATGCTCGCTCCGAGGTCTAGAGGTCAAGCATTTGCGAGGGAAATCAAAGGTCATGAGTTCGAATCACGCCCGCGGGGTCGTGGGTACGCACTACTGGGGGTCCCATACTAGGACGAAACGGCCGCTCAATGCTTCCGAGTTTCCAGTGGTGGCCGAACATTGATCGGTTCATGGTTTTATTGGGATATCTCACTGTTATTTTAATGATTTTTAATAAATGTTGACCTAATATCTGTGTTTTCTAAGCCTACGATTTACTTCCTATTATGAAACATTGGTTCAAGCCCTTATTATTCTTATCGCAAATAGTATATCTGTTGTTACAATGTTAAGTTGTACCTTTTACTTATTATATCTGGTTATGTATTCTGTTAACTCATAAATTGTCTTGGTAGATTTATCTTCATAATATGCATATAAACATTACTGTATATTAGAGTGCCAACTGATAAAAATGTGATTGATTTTAAAAAATTGTTGGCTTATACCTGTTGTTCTGATTTACAAGATAAGAATTTTTAATACATTTTAAGTATATTGTGTTAAGAGGATGTAAAGAGAAATTTTACTCTTCAGTAGATGGGTATTATCGTTTGTTTTTAACTGTAGCTAATGGTATATCATAACGTTTACATCAAATGCAGCATATGTTGGTAGGACTTTGCAAAAAAACAACTGAATTTCATCTTTATGAATTCATGATAACCTGATTTCAGAATACATAAATATAATGTTTTCTTTTATTGAAGCCATGAAAGTGTACTCTTATGAAATTTTACGGATTACAGCAATTTAATGATTTGAAGGTAGTTTAATGTTAATTAGTTCATCAGATAACACCTTTTTATGACAAAACCTATAGCAAAATTATAAAACTAAAAACTTTTACTCTATGTTCTTAATCCACTTCCAAACCACAAAAATGTTGTGTTGTGAGGTCGTATGAGTCTGCAACTGATGTATACACTCTTTATATGTGTACACAAACTAGCCACTTGAATAAGAAAACCAAGAGTAGGAAGCTTTTATTGGTAGATGGGATTGACAATACATACACAACTCAGTCGTAGTTCTCAGAAAGTTAAACCACATTTCTGACCAGTATCTATTTATTTAGACAAGAAAGCCGAATCTTGACTAATAGCATGAGACAGTTAGCACATCGTACTTCTCCCTACCTGCATCTGATTGGCCCAGTATATCATTTTTTTCGTAAAAAATAAGCCTTGTTGTTTAGTTTCAGCTCTTAGAATTCAAATGGGAAAATATCCAGTAACGGAAAAATATTTAAAACATAAGTGATATTTGTTATCTAACCATTAGCTCTATTTTCTTGGAAAATCAAAGAAATCGAAATGAAATTATTTTTTAGGCAACAGTTAACTGAATAATATATGGAGGGATTTATTAAGGTTGAAGACAGTTTACATCATGGACCGATATGAGTAGAAGAACTATTGGAGATATTGGGTCTCCAAATACAACGTATTAAGAAGAAATCAATCTTAAAAATTCATGTATTGATATAGGATGATTTACGTTTAGTCATTTTTCAGGACCCTTTCAATTGTATTGATTCATTCAGTAGGAATTTCATTTACTTCAACTTTCAATGAACTATAATATATTTGTATTGTTGTTCGACACTGCAGTCGATCAGTTTATTCTGGTTGGATTTGAGAACTGGAGTGAACAGCAACTCTGGTAGGCAGGTACATCTAGCTGACGAGTCGCGAATGGGAAGGAGCGCGAGTCCTGGAATCCACTATTACCCATCGTCCGTCTCAGTTTATAATTTCAGTGAGTTGTCAACGTATTAATAAATTTACTGTAACATTCATTCAGTATGACAATTTCTTTATTAATAATCACTGAATGCAATTGGTATATAATTGAATGATTTCAAATGTAAATTTTTCCAGTTCTGATTAAGTCTCTATCAATAAAATTCTGGAAAAGCTTGGATTACTATCTATAATTGGTAAGTAGAGAAGACGACAGAAAGTAGTCTCCTTCATAACCATTTAAGTCTGAGTTGCGAATCATTAGCTGGGTGCACAATCATATCAAGATGAATTGAAAATTAAAGAGTATTCAATATGCACTACTATCTCCTCGCAGTTTAAGACTTCCAGTAGTATCTACCGAAAAACTTACCGAGGTTAGAAACTCTTTATGTTTAGATCATATGATAAGTCAGTATTCACTAGTCAATATTTTTATAATTTCTTCATTTAACCTAAATAGATTAAAGTATATGTTTGAAACTGAGAAAATAATCACACCTACTAGAAGTATAAATAAAGATCAAAGGTCATTGTTATCATGTACTACTCAAGTCTTAATTTTCTTCTAAGTTAAAGCTATTACACAATTCAGTGATTTTTAGGAAATAAAAGTTTCATTTAGTGATAAAGTACATGTGAACATTGTATCAAAGTAGATTCCTTATGTACTTTGACGTGTAATTTTCAGAAAATTTGTCTTTACTTTTCAGATAGTCTAACGTAGTCAAAGAGAAATTCGGGATCTGGGTTTTATACTTACAATGTTCTTGACATTAATCAGTATTTTTTAAGGAACAGGGATTTGAATGTAAACATATTTTAATAAAAAAGGAACGAAT